GGTGCCTAACCTAATTGTAATCAGAGAGGCTTCATCTACCAACTGATGAATGATGCACACCCACAGCCAAACAGTAGGCAGAGTTCGGGGAATCCTGCAGAAGATGAGGAGGAAGGAGTGTAGGAGCCAGAGGGGTCAAGTACACCACAAGAAAACCCACAGAATCAACTAGCCTGGGCTCATAGGGGCTCACAGAGACTGAACAGACAACCAGAGAGTCTGCATGTGACTGACCCAGGCACTCTGCATATATATGACAGTTGTGTAGATTGGTCCTCTTGTGGGACTCCTAACAGCAGGAACAGGGGCTGTCTCCCACTCTTTTACAGGCTTTTGGGACCCTACTCCTGATACTGGGTCACCTTGCCCAGCCTTAATACATGGGGAGGTGCTTAGTCTTACTGCAACTTGCTATGCCATGTTTTATTGATATCATGAGAGACCTGCCCTCTCCTAAACAGAAATGGAGGAGGAGTGCACTGGGGGTTTGGAACAGACAGGGGTTGGGGGAGGAACTGGGAGGAGAGGAGGGAGGGAAAACTGCAGCCAGGATGTAAAATAAATAAATAAATAAATAAATAAATAAATAAATAAATAAATTTATTTATTTAAAGAAGAAGAAAAAAAAAAACACGATCATGGTGTGTCTTCACAGCAACCGAAACCCTGGCTAAGACCACAGTCCTACCCAGATATGACAGGTAAGGTATCCCCAAAGGTTCAATAGTGGCACTTATATCTTGAGGGCAATCAACAGCTGTCTAATTGGACATAAAGCCCACTCATTAAGAGGGAATTCATGCTTGGTACTGTGAACCTAGCCAACTACAAATGGCTGGTGAGGCCACAGAACCTAGAGAACTTAATACTGCCACTTTTCCAAATGTGTGTGTACGTGTGTGTGTGTGTGTGTGTGTGTGTGTGTGTGTGTGTGTGTGTGTATGTGTGTGTGTGTGTGTGTATGTGTGTGTGTGTGTGTGTGTGTGTGTGTGTGTGTGTGTGTATTTTGTTTGTTTGTTTTTTTGAGACAGGGTTTCTCTGTGTAGCCCTGGCTGTCCTGGAATATACTTTCTAGACCAGGCTGGCCTTGAACTCACAGAGATCTGCCTGCCTCTGCCTCACGAGTGCTGGGATTAAAGGTATGCACAATCACCGCCCAGCCAAAGTAGCATAATTTTAACTGCATTCTAAGTACTTATCCTTTTACCCACAGATAAGTGCAGTGCTCATTTAAATAACTTTTTTTTTGTAGTAAACAGAGAACACTGTAGAAAGCTACAACTTTTCAAAGTGAAGAGAACAACTGACTGGGGGTGTCCAGCCCCAGTAGATATATCATTTTCCCCCTCTCTCCCTCCAACTCTTCCCATGTCACTCTCTACCCCTTCTCTCAAATTTATAACCCCTTTTCTTTAATTATTGTTATGGGTGTGTGTATAAATATAAATACAACTTGCTGAGTCCATTTAGTGTTACTCATATGCATATATTTTTAGGGCTGACTGCTTTATAATAGATAACCAACTAGGGAGCTCATCCTTGGGGAAGACTGATTCTTCTTTTTGCTGTGGTCATTATTTACCTGTAGTTTTCATTTAGGGTTGGGGCCTTGTGAGGTTCCCGCATCCCTGCTGGCATGTCAACCATGTGCTATCACTATGCAGGTCTTGTTTAGGTGACCATATTGTTGAGATTTCATGGCTGCAGCTTTCCTGACATATAGAGAAGACACTATCTTGAAGTAGATGTTCTGGTTTCTGGCTCTTGCAATCTTTCTACCCCACCTCTTCTGTGATGTTCCCTGGGCCTTGGGTATAGGGATTGTTTCTTGAGGCAAAACTTGTTTTGAGAGTGCATGTGTCTGTGTGTGAATTTCCCTCCCCTCACTCTGCCATTTCATAGGTTCATATGCTAGGCTAGCAAGCTGTTAGCTTCCAAATGACTCTCCTATCTCTGGGTCCCATTTCCTATAGGTGTGCTATGATTACAGATGCTCACTGTCATATCCAGCTTGGGTTCTGGGGATTGAACTCAGGCCATCAGGATGGACTCACTGAGCTTTGTCCCTGGCCTCTTTTCGATTTTTGAGACAGGTCTAACTCTTGTTACCCAAGCTGGCCTCAAACTCATGCAATCCTCCTGCCTTAATTTCTTGAGTGCTCAGATTAAGTCATGAGCTACCATGCCCAAATGTGTGTGTGTGTGACGCGCGTGTCCACAGAAATGGGTGTGCATATTATACATGTGGAGAGCAGAGGTTGCTGTTAGGTGTCTTCTTTAGTCACCCTCTACCTTCTTTTTTTGAGGCAGGGCCTCTCACTGATTTGGCTAGGCTGGTTGGCTGGCAGCTTCAGGGATCTCCCTTCCCTCTCACAGCACTGCTGCCACAGCAGCTTCTTACGTGGGTGCACTGAACTCAGGTCCTCACAATGGGAAGCAAACACTTTACCGACTGAACCATCTTCTCCTCTTCCCAGACCCTTGGCTGTTTGTCCTGGGAGCTGTTTTCCAGTTTTCTGAGCAAGGACCTCTCTAACTGCACTGTACTGTATCTACTCATACATTCTGACTTCGGGCTTTTATTTCATTCTTCCAAGTTATAATTTAACACCAACAACAGTGAGCCCTTCAGCATTATTTCTGTGTTTCTCTGAGAGGACCTGGTATGATATTTTACATTTAATTATTTGGTATGAACAGTCACTGTTTTTGATAACCATGTATGTTTTAGTGTACACTGCTAACAGGTGTTTGCTATTTAGAATATTTAGACATTTAAATTGTTAACATTTCAAATTACATGGTAATGGTTTGGAACTATAAAATAAACTAGTAAAATGTTCATTACTAGCCAGCTCAGTGATGTAAACATAACCTCATATCTTCTTGAATCGGTTATAGCACATGAAGGAATAAAATTGTCTTTCTGTGATTTATGAGTTATAAACTTGAATTATCACCTGTGTATCATTTACTTAAAGAATTAAGCTATCATTTTGCATGATAGAATTTAACACGAAGAATAAGAACATTTGAATTATTTCTAGATCTATGTAAATTACACTTACTTTGTAGAAAAAAATGATAAGGGCTGGGGCTACAGCTGAGTAGTAGTTCTGACCTAGACACAAAGGCCTTGTGTGTAGTTTCCAACACCACAAAATGATAACCAACTAATAATTACTGTTGTTATGAATGCCACAGTGAGTTTGAGGTCAGAGGACATTCCTGTGAGCTAGTTCTTTCTTCCTGTGAGTCTACGAGACAGAGCCCAGGCTGTCAGGTTTGTGCAGCAGATCCTTACCTGAGGCTTTCTTGTGAGCCCAACACACTGCTTCTGACAAGAAATGCATTCTGTCCTACTTTCCTAGATCGTAAGTCACTCAAGGTGATCTGGGGTCAATCTCCTTTCCTATTTTGCTACTGAGGCAACCACACCTTTTAATGCTAAAAATATTACATGCATATAGATACTTGCTGCATTTTATTAAGAGACTGTGCTTAGGGATGTTGTTATAGTGGTCATAAAATTTTTGTAATTAAAAAGTCACAGTTATGACTTACAAATATGAGATACTAGCAAGTTCTGAAATTAGTGGGAAGATTAGTGGCCTACTCTGGTGATCAGATGGCTGAATACCCTAACTGTCATCATAGAGCCCTCATCCAGTGACTGATGGAGGCAAATGCAGAGATCCACAGCCGGGTGCCAGGCTGAGCTCCAGGAGTCCAACCGATGAGAGAGAGGAAGGATTCTATGAGTAAGGGACATCGAGATCATGATGGGAAAATATACAGAGACGACCAGCCAAACTAGTGGAAACACATGAACTGTGGACCAATAGCTGAGGAGCCCCCATGGTACTGGACTAGGCCCTCTGGATAGGCGAGACAGTTGTTTAGCTTGAACTGTTTAGGGGGCCCCCAGGCAGTGGGATCGGGACTGGCCATGGTGCATGAACTGGCTTTTTGGAGCCTAGTGCCTATGGTGGGACACTTTTTGCAGGCTTGGTGCAGGGAGGAGGGGCTTGGACCTGCTTCAACTGAATGTACCAGGCTCTGCTGACTCCCTATGGGACACTTTGCCTTGGAGGAGGTGGGAATGGGGGATGGGTTGAGGGGAATGCTGAGGGGTAGGAGGAGGGGGGATAGGGGAATCTGTGGTTGGTATGTAAAATGAATAGAAAATCTCTTAATAATTAAAAAAAACTACAAAAAAAGAGACTGTGCTTAGGGATGTTGTTATAGTGGTCATAAAACTTTTGTAATTAAAAAGTCACAGTTATGGCTTACAAATATGAGATACTAGCAAGTTCTGAAACTAGTGGGAAGATTTTTTTAAGAAGAAAAGATATTTACATATCAATGAATAAGGCAGAGGGTGATAGAAGAAGATATCCAATGCTCCTTTGGCTGCTAAATGTGCATGGATATATTTTCACACTCCTCCCACACATAAAACATAGATATACAAGTTGAGGTACTTTTTAACAAAGGGCTATCAAAACTCAAACATAAATTCAGCATTTCATCCTTTTATCTGTCCTCAAGTGGATATAAAGGAACATGAGACTATGTAGCAATAACCACAAAGGATGCCTAAGAAACAAGCAAGCAAACTGTAAGATGATCTGAAATAGATGGAACAGAACAGGCAGAGGTGTGATCCAAGGGAGATCTTTCCTATGGTATGGCTGACAGGTGGCAAAGTGTGTTAAACAGGGAGTGGGAGAAATGGTTGTGAGACAACAAATGCTGGAAGCATCAAGGCACCTGAAACATCATTAGCATCTTCGTGACCCTCACCTTTCTTGATTCTCCATTTGAGCAGTATTAGAACCAGGAGGTCCCTCTATATCAGGCCAACTCTGTTATACTCTCCCCACTTGCCAATCACTTGTGCCAAAAAAGTAATCTTAACTAGGGCCAGCTTTCCTAGCTAGAGGAACCTGAGGTCTCAGTAGAGTCCTCTTGGGAAAGAGCTGTACTTGCTCTCATACCTGTGCTCTCCTCAGCCTGATTGAAGCCGCAGATCTGGCAGATGCTCTGGACCCACTTATTCATGTCGGCCTCTGTCTCAGCCACCAGGTAAAAGGTGCGTTCACTGGTCTTGATATCGAACACAAAACTGTCCTGCAGCTCTTTCTTGTTGAAGGTCAGGCCTGCATCCACCTGCTCACACAAGTTCAGGTTGATGATCCGCAGGGGTTTCTTCGAGTGCTCGTTCTTGTAATATTCCAGAACATCTGGGTCGCCACTCATCCGGCCGCTCCGCAGTATAAACCAGCGTTTCTTCCAGGCCTAAATCACCAGAGACACAGAAAGAAGGAGAAAATGCCATTAGTTATGTTAAAGCTTTTAGCAGGTTCTCATACACCATTGATTGAGGATGGGTATGACAGGGTAGGGCCTGGAGAGAAAGGCTCCAAGATCATCATGTGAGGGACCCACCAGATTGCTCATTGGATAAAGGTACCTGCCACCACGCCTAATGATCTGAGTTCAATCCCTAAAACCCACAAGGTATGAACGTTATCATTTGACCTCCACATACGCATCATAGTATTTGTGTCCAGCAAATAAACATGTAAATAATTAAGATTATCATATAAAAGAAGCCAGTTGACAAAGGAAGACTGGGAACCTCTGGCCATTGGCTACATGTAATAAAATAAGAGCATTTCCTAACAAGAAAAACAAAAAACAAAAACAAAAAACAAATGCCTAAAACTCAAGCTCTCTAAATGAGGAAGAAGGAGAGTGTTATATGTTACCTATAAAGAATCCAGACTGTCAAGGCCAGAGGGCCTGGGACCTGTGCCAGCTCTCTAGCTCACTTCATTCTCAGTGTGCCTTTCTTTTCTTAATAAACTGTCTCTATTTCTATCACTATCCTTGTGTCCCTAGTCCAGTTCTTTATTCTGGGACACAAGAGCCCGGAAATCTCAGTTGGTGCCTCCTGGACTCATACCTATTAACCTAGGGACTGCTGGACCCTTCAGGTACTCATGGCCTACATTTCCCTTTCAGATTCCTCAGCTCAATAATGGAAGATGGTTTTAGAACATGTTAGTACAGGAGTAGTGCAGCTACTCCTTTAGACTAGATACATACTCAGGCTAGGGAGTATTTGCAAAGCCATAAAAATCTTAGCTTACAGATTAAGGCACTGTGAGTTAAAGCAACAATGTTATACCAAGTGTAGCAGAAAAATAAATTTCCTAATTTCCTACAGTATGCCTCTTTCATTGAAAAATCACTGCTGAGAAATCTTTGTGGGAATTCTCTGAGTATCTACCTTTAGGGCCTTCCCCTCGTCTTCAGTCCTATTTACTGACATAGTTTTCCTAAGACTCGTGGAAGTTACTTGCTCATGTCAAGCATTCCATCTATATTACTGAATGAAAAATGTCTTATATTATCCCACATTATGGAATTTAAAACTTGACTACATATGTTCTTATGCTGTCTTCTACATTGTATCTCTTTAAAATGACTGAATAAACTCTGAGCAGAACTGATACACAGTGATAAAAAATAAACCCCTAAACAACCAAAAACTAAATACAGTTACAGAGCTTTGGGTTGAGTCTGAGCTCTACTACAGACTCATTGCATGATTTTTCAACTAAGTTACTTATTTCTTTGGATCTTTCCTTATTTACAGAATGAGAATCATAACCATCACTATCACCATCTACCCTATTTATGAGAGGGCTTTTTAATGCAAATGAACCAGAGTACTATAAATGTCAATAATTTATTATTATTATCATCACAATTCCTTCAATCTTCAGGGAGCTATATTAATTCTACCAATACTTCACACTCCCCTTTTATCCTTGTCCTCAATCTCTTCAGTAATCAATGCTCTTGATCCATCCTTATAATTTCTTTGCTTCTTTTTCCATTTCTCTTGTTTACTTGGCAAAACCACAACCTCCAGCTAAGTCTAGTGTTCTGTCTACTCTACCTCAAGTGATAATAGCTATGCAAGGTAGAGGGAAAGTAGAATAGCTAGCTGCAGATTGCCTTTCTTGGGCCTTCACACAGGCCACTCACAATGCCGAACCATCTTATTGACCTAGTCCAGGACTTTCTTGTACTCTTTGTCAACAATCTCTGATCTTCTCTCTTTAAATCTCCAAAACTTCATGAGGAAATACAATCAAAAGAGATCCGGTGCCACATTTACCAATGCACCTGCCTCCACAGCCGCATTCTCTGGTGAGAGTACAGGCAGTTCTCTTAATAATTTATAGCAGCCTTCTTCCCTAGGCACACACCCTTTCACCCACCTGGAACATCGCTTCAACAACCGTGCCCTCTCCAGAGTAGTGGCTTCATCCTTCCCTGCAAGAATCATTTCCACCATCTCAGGAAAAAGGTAGAAGGTGTCATGATTCCATCTTCATCTTTGACTAGGGTTCAGCTTTTCAATTACTCTTCAGTTAAGCTTCAGTTTCTATAGCACTGTGCTTATTGGTTTTTGTCTCCTCCCATATGAAGGTACTTTCATTGGGCTACTCCTCACTACTTCTGGGATACTGTATCAAAGGCTGTGAAGACTCCAGTGCTGCTAACTAGTTCTTGGGCCTTATTGTGATCGCTCAGGAACATTTTACAGTGGTCTATTATTGGCACACCTTCACTGTGTCACCTTTATTGACACACTTTCTTGATAGGCTTTGGCATCCACTCTCAATTTCCCACTTGGTATTGCTTTTCCAGATGCCATTGCTGTTTTTTTTTTCCTATTCTCTAAGCCCCAGAATGTTCCAATGCTCAGTTCTCAGATGGACTGTTTCTACACCCACCGTTGGATCAAAGCCATCTACTTGCTGTAATTTCCAAATGTCAGCCCCCAGCCTAACCCTATCTGAGGAACCTGAGTCCTATACCCAACTCTCCATTATTAAGCATTTCAAAACTAGTATGTTAAAAATGGAACTTCCAGCCAGGCATAGTGGCTCACATCTGTCATCTCAGCATTTGTCTAGGACAGGATTGTTGCCAGTTTGACACAGTGACAACCAGGCCAGCCTAGTATACAAGATGAGACTCTGTCTCAACTCTTATCTACCTCCAAAATTTGGCCTTCTAATATCCCTCAGACTCATTTTTTTCCTATAATCTTTCCCATCTTAATTATGGCTATAACATCTTTCCTATGTCAAAGGTAACTATTCCCATATTCAATATTTAATCTATCAGCAAATTCCGTCAGTGAAAGAGTTCAAAATATCTGTTCCTTATCTTCCCTGATATTCTCTAATTTCGTTGTGTGTTTATGTGTCCGTGTGCATGTTACAGTGTGTGTGTGTGTGTGTGTGTGTGTGCGCACGCGCGTGCGCGTGTGCGCACGTGCATGCGTGTGTATGTCTGAGAACAACTTGCTGGGGTCAATTTTCCCCTTCTACTATGTGCCTATTAAGAATTGACCTCAGGTCACTGGGCTTGGCAGCAAATACACCATCTCACTATCCCATAATTGCATTGATTTTTATACCCTTCATGATTCCATTCAACAATCTATTCACGAAAGTGAGGTCAGAAAGCAGGATAGGATATAAATCAAGGTAGGCTGTGCTTCTCTGCATGAAATCACTGTCTACCCACTCAGAGTAAAAACCAATTTCCTTTATGATGGCCCCTTAGCCTAAGTTACAATTTGGGTCTTGGATAATTCCAAAGTTTTGGTCTTAGGTTGTGATGCTATTTGGGAGGTTGTAGAATTCTTAAGAAATAAGGCCAAGTGAGAGAACTTAGGTCATTGGTGACGTGACTTTGAAGAAACTATAGGACTCTCTTCTTTTCTCTGTTTGCTTCCTGGCCAAAGACAGCAGCTTGCTCTAACACGTGTCTCTGTCACAAGGTACTTCCTTACTATAGCTTAAAACAACAGGAGCAACTGAAACCTCTAAACTGTGATCCCACATAAGCCGCTTTTCCCCTCCTGTTTCTCCCTCTTCGTGGTGCTGAGGATTGGACCAAGGGCTGCTGTTCTCTTTTCCCTTCTTCACAAACACAGCCTGCTGTGCCTGAACCTCCGTCATTACCTCACGTCAATCTTGTCCATTTTGTTGTCACACGGCCTTAAACACTGCCAGGCACATACCTGCCTCAGGCTCTTAATTTTAGTTGTTCTTTCTGGACACATGTGCCTTCTCCCAGTGTCCCATTCCTTATTCTTTATTCAGGTGTGTATCCACACGTCACATTGTCGAGAAGCTGCTCCCCACCCCCTCCCGTAGCAAGTACTCACATTCTTCTTTCTTCTGGTCGGGTTTCACTGGTCTCATTGGTCTTATTAGCACTCACACCATTTCTGTGGATTGTCTGCACTCACTTCCCGGAATGGAACCGCCACCAGCACAGGGACCCTTTCATTCTCCTTTGTTTTCCCTTCTGCAGGGTTTTGAATGAGAAGTGTCCCCCATAGGCTCAGAAATGTTAATACTTGGTCCCTAGTTAGTGGTGCTGTCTGGGAGGTTTAGGAGGTGTACCTTTGCTGGGGAAAGTGTGTCACTGGGGGTGGGCTCTGAGAGATTACAGCTTTGCCCCACCCCCAGTCTGATCTCTCTCTTCTGTCTGAAGAGATAAGCATTCAGCTGTCTGCTCCTGCTACCACGCCTGTCACTTGCTGCCATGTTTCCCCCATGATGGACTTTTATCCCTCTTGAATCATAGGCCCACACAAACTCTTCCATAACTGTCTTGGACAAGGTGTTTTTTATCAGCAATAGAAAAGTAACCAATGCACCTCCTTACTTCCATGCTATAGTCACAGTATTTAGAATACTGCTTTGCACCTAAATAGCAATCAATAAATATGTCCATTACTTGATTGCTTTCTAGCATAAAGTCCTTATGGCACTTAATTGGTCAAGGGGACTATACATGAGGTCTGATAAGCCTTAGATTAAATTAAAATTGAGGTATTACCATATATAATAAAGTTGAGGAAAAATAAAAATAAAAAGGCATTTAATTATAGTCACATAAAATCTTGTCCCGGCCATTGTTTGTGAAACTCTGTATACTTGTATAGATGTACCCAGTAGGTGCTGTATACAGCTATATATAGAGTGAGTGTACGTGTGTGTGTGTGTGTACATATATGAATACATCAGCATTTTGTAAGCAGTCGTTTATGGCCTATACTACTCCTTGGAAGGAGAACCTGGGAAGCTCTTAAAGTACCCATAGCAAACATCATTTTCTTCTTTTTGAGATGTCTCTGTGTATTTGTTCATACTAGAACCTGAACATCAATGATTTAGGGACAGCCCTTTCCAGAG